CCACAATGTTATAGTGAAAATGCATCAGCTCTGAATTGCAAGTGCTAATGCGCCCAATATTGCACAGTTAATTAATAATGCATATTATAAAACTCATACTGAATCAAAAACCTCCCCTTGGCCAGACTAAGAAAAAATGTTTTTTTCGTTGGCATCAACATTTATCGCCTTGTGACTTTGTCATCGAATGAGATGTCATAGTTATGACTTCAAATTCTTCTAAATGCTCGTTTTATTTTTTTCACAAGAAACCCTATACCACGCAATTTATGAATAATTAACATTAAAAAAGGCCATTATATTATGCAAACGTTTTGGCTTTCTTTTTTAAGAGCAGTAACTTGTACTTGAAGCTTGCATAAAGTAGGTTACGACAAAGTGTTCTACTGTGATGTCAGCCAAACAGATAAACTACAACATGCATATTCAGGGTAAAATTGCCCAAGAGTTGTGTAATTGTAACCCTTCAACACAATACTACTGCTACATGAATTGCATATACATATGTACCTAATTCAAATAAAATAGTTTGCTTTGTATTATCACACTTATGCTAGGTCTTTGCAAATTTAAAACGAGACAATAGAAAGTAATCTGAAGTTATCATAATTGCCCATGAAAAAATAATGTTTCTCTGTCAATCCCTTGAGAAAAGTTAAGAGTAATTCATTGTAACTGTTGGAAAAGAATAAAAGTGTTCTACTGTGATGTCAGCCAAACAGATAAACTACAACATGCATATTCAGGGTAAAATTGCCCAAGAGTTGTGTAATTGTAACCCTTCAACACAATACTACTGCTACATGAATTGCATATACATACATACCTAATTCAAATAAAATAGTTTGCTTTGTATTATCACACTTATGCTAGGTCTTTGCAAATTTAAAACGAGACAATAGAAAGTAATCTGAAGTTATCATAATTGCCCGTGAAAAAATAATGTTACTCTGTCAATCCCTTGAGAAAAGTTAAGAGTAATTCATTGTAACTGTTGGAAAAGAATAAGAAATAATTGTGACTTAATCACTTACTTTTTAAAGTAATTAGCCCAAGGTCTGATTATCCATAAGTGGTGTAAAATTTGAGTAATTTGTTTCTAAAGGTAATGATCCACTTAATCACTGGGTATACTTATATAATTCAGGCACTGCTTTTCTTGCAGTTATCCTTACTCCCAACATAACTAAATGGTCACTAGTGTTAATTTCAAGCCACCCATTATAGATTAACTTGTCCATATAGACTTGTTTATAAACAAGCCACGCTAATAAAATGCTAACAACTTTCTCAGCTCAAGCATATAACCTGTTTGCCAAAATCTTTAAATATTCACAAGGCTCTCAATTGCGTTTTAGCTGATTCTTGTGGGATTTGAAAATGAAAGCGTTACAGTTGCGTTTGCTATTTTATTTCCAAAGTTCAAGTGACCGATAGTCTTAACCAAACTAGGTTCAAAGTCAATGAGAGCATGGCATGATACACTCATAGCCTTATTGTTTTGCAGTGGAATCTATAAAAACCCTAAAATAAAATAGAATGTCTCCTAAGTAATCTCCAACCCAGTCAATCCTAATTTTCTTACAAGTCACAGGTAAACATTACCTTACCTAGATGTTTTGTTATTGATGCTGTTCCTGGGTAGCGACATATACAATTTACAAGATTCAACCATTTCTCCCCATAAGCCATTCAAAATGCATACTTTAATACCACATGATAACAAATTTAAAGTCAAAAAACCTCAAAAAGGGACCTTTTTTTCGTGTTAGCTTTATATAGCATTAAACTACTTTCTTCATATGCAAACCTTGAATCCAGTGTGTGGGCTTCTACTGGGTAAACAATATATGTAATATTTCTCTTAAGAGAACCTCTTTTGTTCAGGAATAAGTTTTTTTCACGATTTGTTTTTTCGAAAACCCGGCTGAATGACGATTTCTAGAGTTTTTGGAAATGCTTATAATTGAAATTATTTCAATCTGCCCTTTAATCGTTTTTATTTTTAAGACCGACACGCCTTTATCACATTCTTGAGCAGTAAACAAAAATTAAGAAAACAACATATTGAAAGACTAAACGACTTATCCAAACAAATGCTTCAGACTGTGACAAATACTGGCATATGTACACATATAACAAATGGGCACTCAATTCACGAGTGTGATGTGAAATATACATATAAAACGATATTGAGAGCTTTATTGCATAACACAGTAAAGTTCTTTCAAAGCTTCAGTATCATACTCATTCAGTAAATTCTTAAATATGATATTAGTTTAATAACGAAATGTAGTTTTAGCTTACATGATAATGATAATCATGCTTTGCGGAATAAAATTATATATGACCTTTATGACCTTTATGACCTTGTTTTTCGATGATTTTTACGTGTTAACCTTATATATTACTAGAAATTTGTTATTGGTTAACTTAATTATTGTATAAACTTAGAGAATATTGAATAATCATTTGATTTTGACAAGAATAATTAATTGCATCATATTGTATCATAGTTTTAATGAACTATCTTAGTATTTCTAAGCGGCCATTTTGAATTGACCTTTTGAAGGTCAAGGTCAATTTTATTTTCTTGGTATCCGCCCTCATCGTCTTTAGCATACCCGAATTAGGTTAAAACACTCAAGATATTACTTGTACTATAAAATGCCTCTAGCATTCATATTTTCTTAAAATCAGTCCTGTCTAAAAACTTATTTAACAACATTTACTAGCGACGTGTTATTGCCATAATTTCCATTGTCTCTATTACCGTGCATTGATATCCGTTACCTTATGATTAAATGATAATTTGTCAACTGCAATTAAAGTAACCTTCCAATTATTTAAATATTTTTTCCCAGTACACCATACAAAATTTAAAAGTTGGGCATAATAATATATTTACGCTTCAAATCTCAGACAGAGGCAAGACGACTTTGAAAGTAATTCATGTATGATTATTACGTCATCATTCTTGATATATAGCATTTAACAAGTACAGGGGGTGAATGGATTTATCATGAAATTGCATGTATTTGTGATATATATCAAACTTATCACTTCAGAGACTTGTTTGTTCTTATTGTATCGCGTTAAACAGTTTATTTCGCTTTTATGTTTTGCTAACATACAGTTCCTCTGCAATTAAACGCACGTAAATCAAATTAAGTGAATATTGCTTGCAAAGTTCAAAGATTTTCTTTGTTGTCTTAAACTTTGTTATTTTCTCCATGAAGCTTAAATTGGATTAAAATGGTATATTAAATCATTTGATATATAATCACAATCAGTTTTGAACAGTGTTGTTTTATAATGAAATGCACTACAAAATTATACCTTACGTATTATGACTCATAAAGTAAGATCGAACATATTAGCCCAGCGTGATAAAAATTCTAAACATAGACAAGATTGCTGTAAATTTGCTAGGTCCTACTCGGCAAAGATATAATGATGACGTTATACTTCTGATTAGTGGCAAATATCGAAAAAAATATTTTCAAAAAAGTATTTTGAAGTGAGTTTGTAAGAATATGTATGAGGTATACATTACTTCAAAATAAGTAAATGTCATGTTTGCACCAATTTAATATTTTTTTGTGTAAAAAGAACACTACCACTCAAAACCTAAAAATACAGATCCGTTTTTTTCCCAATTTAATGGGAAAATACAACGTTGTAAATATAATATTATAATAAAACTTATTATCATATACTAAAAAGTGAAATATTGATGAAATTAAAATTACGCTTCATTATGCGTTTTTTCATTTTCCGTATTTTCACTGTAAAAATGTATTTTTCTTTGCAGTAAACTTTTCTTCTTTATCTATCCAATACACAAAATTAAAGTAGAAGTCTTATGAATTGTAAGGTCAAAGAAGAAAAAAATATAATAAACAGAAAATTCAAGTTTGTTTGTTGCTTTTTTTTTTAATACATAATATATTTTCATATTGTGATATGAAAATTATCATTTTTCACTTGTGGCTCCCGCCACTCGTGAAATATTTATTTTCATACCACTCGATGAAAATAAATTCTGTATTTATAGAAAAGGCTTGAATATTCCTTATCTATTATATTGTAATATATAGTGTTAGTGTATATCATGTATTTAGACCTTAGGACCTACTGTTTGGATCATTGTTTGTTTGTTTTTTGGTTTTACGTCACATCGACACAGTTTAGGTCATATCGCGACGTTCAAGCTTTACTGGTGGAGGAAGACCTCAGGTGCCCTTCCGTGCAGTATTTCAGGCACGAACGGGAACCTGAGTAGAACCACCGACGTTCCGTAAGCTAGCTGGATAGCTTCCTCACATGAAAGAATCAAAAATCCATGTCGGGATTCCGATCATTGACAGACATATAGGAATGCCTAACAGGATAGACCACCTAACATCCTGACTGCCTAAAAGACGCAGTTTTTCTGTTAAATCAACAGGTCAAAGTTTATAACCAATATAAATCAGGAGTGAATATCAACAATTGAGTGCAATAATCCGCCCACCAGCAGGATTTTCCGATTAGTCCGATGGTGTTACTCTGTAAAGACCAAATAAAAATAATCTAAAACTGTGGTTATTATTCAATATGTGATTTACTAAAATAATAAAAAAGGTATAATCAAAACAATGAAATCATTTTACAAGTAATATTGAGTGGTGACAGAGACTTATAATACAGATATTTAAATAAAGCTATGTGATGGTGGAAATAATCAAAACTGAAGAGAGTCTTATTCAATATTATGCAAACATAGTCAAATTCAAAATTTGTACAAAGAGAAATGGGTCAAATGGATTGTGAACTGCCTCTGATATACAGTTATTATCTTATCCTAACGCATTTTACTAAGGATTTCTATTTTGTGGTAAGTGTTGGTATTTTTAGTACTTTAAAGCCTCAGTTGAAAAATTTGGTGGAGTATAACCTATAATGAGCGAATTGAACAGTATTGTAAATATTTTACACGCTTGACACAGCCAATGAAAATTTGGTTTACAAACTAAATTTAAATTTATCACGTGACTCCAAACATGGCGGACACGCCAGTGGGAAATAAAAATTCCCACATTTCATGTCTATTTCCCGAGATTCTGACGATAATCTTCAGTCATTTAGATGTAAGAGACAAAGGGCGAGCTGCCCAAGTTTGTACGGCGTGGAAAGATGCAGCTTACAACCGGCAAGTATGGCGAAACGTTGAGGCAAAACTTCACTTGAAACGTGCGAAACCTTCTTTGTTTCCAAGTCTTGTAAAACGTGGTATACGGAAAGTTCAAGTTCTGAGCTTACGCCGAACCCTCCGCGATGTGGTGTGTGGCATTAGTAATATTGAAAGCTTAAATCTGAGTGGATGCTTCAACATTAATGATGGTGCCCTGTCGCATGCATTTACACAAGAAATGCCTTCATTAACAGTGTTAAACTTAAGTCTGTGCAAACAGATAACTGACAGAAGTTTGGAAAGAATTGCTCAATACTTGCAAAACTTGGAAGTTCTCGAACTTGGAGGATGTACAAGTGTTACAAACACTGGTCTCCTGTTGATCTCTTGGGGACTGAAAAAGTTGAAAGTTTTAAATCTGAGAAGTTGCAGACACGTATCTGACCATGGCATTAGTCACCTGTGCGGGTTAAGTCCACATGCAGCACCAGGAACTCTAGAGCTTGAACATCTTGGGTTACAGGATTGTCAAAAACTAACTGATCTATCGCTGAAACATGTAAGCAGTGGACTTGTTAATCTTAAAAGTATGAATTTAAGCTTTTGTGGAAATGTGACGGATTCGGGTATAAAATTCCTTTCTAAAATGCAAAGTCTAAGAGACCTTAATCTAAGAAGCTGTGACAATGTGACAGATGCAGGACTTGGATTTTTATCTGAAGGTGGTTCAAGGCTTGAAGTTCTTGATGTGAGTTTTTGTGATAACGTGGAAGATCGAGGGCTACAGTTGCTGTCTCAAGGGTTGTACAGTCTAAGAAGCCTGTCATTGAGTGCTTGTAATGTAAGTGATGATGGAATTGAGAAACTTGTGAACGCCTTGCAAGAAATAACAATGTTGAACATTGGACAGTGTGACAGAATCACAGACAAGGGTCTAAGTGCTATTGGAATGAAATTGAAAAATCTTAAAAGCATTGATCTGTACGGATGTACAAGAATTACAACTGTTGGTCTTGAAAAGATCATGCAGCTGCCATGTCTAACAGCCTTGAATCTTGGTCTCTGGCATAAGAGAGATTAACATACGATGTAATAAATGATCTTAAGCTTGTTGACAGTTGAGGAAAGGACAGAAAACTATACAAATTTTATACATTGTGTTATAAAAATTTATTAAAATATTCTAACATGTCGAAGAGAAAGACCAATGAAATTATTGGTGTTGTTTTTGTTTGGCTCAATGTCAAACTGCTTCAGAAGTTTGTATGTAGGTTCATTCAAAACATTATAAATGAACTCCAAACAAAAATAAGCGGAAAAGTCACATGAAATTATTTTGTAAAACTGTTTTAAAATATTGCATATCTGACTAAACTTTAAATGGTTGTACTCTTTAGATTTTTATATTTATATTTTACATGTGTGTAAGCTAAGATATTAACTGTATAAGATTTTCAGCCATTAGACATTGTGTAGTCTTTCAAACACTATTTATATTGGGTTTAAAAAGGTTTAATTTGCTCTATGAACTTGTCAACTAGTTTTTTTTGTGTTTTTTTTTAATTGGCCAGTGTTTATAAAGGTCTTTTGAATAATTAATTTTTACATTTCTAAAATGCTAGATCTATGCATGTACAAACTACAACATTGATCTGATGTGTTTATTTAGCGGGGAAAATGATCCCAGATTTTAACTTTCATAGATCTGTCCCTTCACTGATGGGTATTTAATTTTGATTTTTTGTGTGCTATTTTTTCTAAAATAGTGGGGTTAATAGAATATTTTCAAACCTCAAGATAGGGGCATTTAGCTGGGATTTTACAATGTGACTGTCCCCACAAGATTGAAGTTAGGGCTTGCCCTGGGGTTTGATCATCAAGAAGCCATGATCATTCAATTTACAGATAACAAGATTATAATTTACAGGTGCAGTAATTCTCTTCTTCCACAATATTTCCTTATCATATCAAGATGTTTTCATATTGCTCTCATGTTAAGGTGCTATTTGAAAAACCCCATTGTCATTGTTATATCATAATCATATCATAATTCAAAGTTTAACTAAGATTACCAGTATGTTCAGAAAGATACTTGCCAATTTTTATATACATGTGACAAGGAATTTTCTGTAAGTCATAGTGTGTAAGTAAATAAAACTAAATTATTGTAGATAATTTTATTCATGTTTAAATATAGCAATGCTTCCAAGGTTCATTGATATGTAAAAAAGACATATTCATAATTCAGTGCAGATTTAAGTTATCACATTTCATTATGACAGTATCTTTATATAATTATTTATATCAAAATGTAAGTAAAGTAGCATCAATTTGATAAAATTTTATATTTTCTAGAACTTTTATATAAAAGCAAATTGACAATGTATAATATAATTACAGTAAGATCACATTATAACAGCAAAGATATAGTTATGTGTAGATCTCAGAGTTTTTTTTTCCAGAAGAAAGTGCTATATTTAAAAATCACTTATAAGTTATAATTTAATTATATGTATATAATTCAGTATGTGCACATGTGTGTTTTGTTTATTATTAAAGTCCAAACTAGGCTGCCATTTGAGAATTTTGTTCATTATTAAAGTCCAAACTCGTCTGCCATTTAAGAATTTGTTCATTAATATTAAAGTCCAAACTCGGCTGCCATTTAAGAATTTGTTCATTATTAAAGTTCAATCTTGGCTGCCATTTAAAAAAAATTTTGTTGATGCAGAATGAATATTGTAAATATATAAGTATGTATGAGAAATTATTTAATAATATATAATGCATACATTCTATTACATTGTACTTGCTGTTGACCTAATCTACACGTCGGGTATAGTTAACCCAACCTACTTTGACAATTTTTATTGAAGTATCTTAGAAAAATGAATACAATGTAACATCATTCTTATCAAAAAATAATTAAGTCAATTAAAATTTATTCATTGATACATGTATGTAAAAAAAAAATTATTACTAGCATATATATACATATCAAATTTTCAATTGTTATATAAATGGAGGCCACAGTGTTTGTTTCTGGCCTTCCTACACAAATGTATAAATTGTCAACCCTAACTGTTTTTGTGATTGGGTATTTCAAGCAGCTTAGCTTTATGTAGGCTAAATTTTAAGAGTATAAGGTGTGGGGGATGTGTTGAAACTTTGATCACTTTATTAAATAAAGTCATAATCCAAGGCCCGTAACTCTAGCATTGATATAACAGAGTTATTCCCCCTTTTTTAAACTTTTTAAATATAAACATCATCCAGACACTTGTTTTACTATCAAGCACTGAGAATTGAACATGCTGTACTTCAGACAGATCTTGTCTGAAATTAATTTCATTTTGCATTTTTGTTTTTAAACTTTCATGGAAAAAAAGTTGATGAAGCCTACATGGCCAATGAGAAGCTAGAGAAGTTAACAGGATCAGCAGAAATAGTCATTAGTTGATTGAAAATATTAATGTTATTTGATCTGAATAGACAAGATACAAGAAACTTTAATTTAAGTCGGGTTTACAACCAACATATTTTGTCATTTTGGTGAAATAAAGAAATTGTGAGTCTTTAATGACCAGTAATGACTGGTTAAAATGGGGAAAAAAATGCTGATTGGTAGCAGGAGAAATTAGTGTGACATGTTTTGTCCCAGATTGTTACATGTTGTGTGGTGTTGTTAAGCAAAATATCTTTTATTTACCCTTTATTTCTTCAGTGTCTATTTAAAATTGTCAATCAAAATTACAAGTGTATATTATATAATAAATTATAATAACACCTACAGTGTATATAGAAACAGGTGAATTTTCTGTTATCTTGTTAAGGTCTACATATTTTGCATGCAGTATTTAGATAAAAAAAATCATATTATAAAATATTGAAATTTTTGATGCAAGAAATGATATTTTGATTGTTTTGTTTTGTACAAAAAATAAAAAGTATCAAACTTTACAGGTTTCTGGTTATTTGTTTGAAAGGTGTTTGGCTAGGATGCAATAATAATTACATTATAAAGTACATAATGTATATAGTCTAGTTACTTGAATGACAGACATTTCCTTATCGGTCAAGAAAAATAGAATATCCAGATACTACATCAAAGAGCTGCTAAGTTTTATTTATGTCATGCTAATGTTAAATTGTCTTAGATTAAGTTGTCAGACTAATGGAAACTAATTAATGGAAATTATCCAGTTGTCTGATTTATGGAAACTATATAGTTGTCTGATTAATGGAAACTATCAAGTTGTCTGATTAATGGAAACTATCCAGTTGTCTGATTGATGGAAACTATCCAGTTGTCTGATTAATGGAAATAATCCAGTTGTCTGATTAATGGAAACTATCCAGTTGTCTGATTAATGGAAATAATCCAGTTGTCTGATTAATGGAAACTATCCAGTTGTCTGATTAATGTAAATTATCCAGTTGTCTGATTAATGGAAACTATCCAGTTGTCTGATTAATGGAAACTATCCAGTTGTCTGATTGATGGAAACTATCCAGTTGTCTGATTAATGGAAACTATCCAGTTGTCTGATTAATGGAAACTATCCAGTTGTCTGATTAATGAAAACTATCCAGTTGTCTGATAAATGTAAATTATCTAGTTGTCTGATTTATGAAAACTATCCAGTTGTTTGATTAAAGGAAATTACCCAGTTGTCTAATTACTGTAAACTATCCAGTTGTCTGATTGATGGAAACTATCCAGTTGTCTGATAAATGTAAATTATCTAGTTGTCTGATTTATGAAAACTATCCAGTTGTTTGATTAAAGGAAATTACCCAGTTGTCTAATTACTGTAAACTATCCAGTTGTCTGATTAATGGAAATTATTAAATTATCTAATAGATGAAAATTTTCCAACTGTTTGATAAATGGAAAATGTCTAAATAATGAAATTTTTCAGTTGCCTAATTGATGGAAATTATTCAGTTATAGAAATGATTACAATTATTTAGTTGTATGATTAATGGGAAAGTATCCAGTTGTCGTATTATGTTGTTTTTGTATTACTGGACATTGTCTAGTTTTCTGCCCAGTTGTGAACAGGAGCTAATATCGTAATTAAAAGACGATGTTAATGTCTTTAACTTATAAGCGTTCAAGTGTTAAAGCTATAGTACACCATTATTCTGACGCATGAAAACATTAAATTATTTCATTAGACGAAATTATCGTGTCTGATGATGGCGCAATATTTAGTGCCAGGTTCCAGTAGCATATACCACTTTGTTAAATTAACAGTGCAATAATATTCGAATTGCAGCAAATTGCACGGAATAACTATGAAGATAGTCGTGCAATGAATAACTTGTGAGAGTTCATCATACCCTTTAAAGTATACACGCATTTACATCTCAATTATGGTACATTGTACTTTTAATTAACACTAGAAGAAAAATAGTTCTCATTGAATACCTACATGAATATGACAATAAATTGTCCGAGCATACGTTATCTAATGAAAAACAAAAAGCTCAAAATTGCTGGAAAAGCTGATAAGAGCGACTGATACAGAACTTTATACGAGATGGAACTTGTCTCAGATTGCTAAACAAAGAGGCTACCACAGAAAATGCCATTATACTAACACTCGTGTAACTGTTCTGATGAAGGAGGACTATCCAAAGGTTCAAGTTATCGATGACCGCCAGAGGGCATGATCTGTTTTTCATCAATGTATTTAAAAGATTGTATCAGTTCTAAATAATTCAAGAGAATGCATGATTGCATCATGACTCATAGAATATCTAAAAGTTCATTACATATCGTTGTTCATGGATTTTGTAGAAAAACATGGACATATACTAGCATGGCACCTGGCTGTACCAAGCCATGCATCAAATTCTGTCATATTATACTAACTTAATTCAGATCATCTTACTTGTACATGAAATAGCATAAAAACTCGTTCATGACAAAGAATAACAACCTATATATTTAATGTGGCGATTTGTACATGAAATACCATAGCGACTAGTACATGAAACAGCATGCCGATTTGTACATGAAATACCATAGCGACGACTCGTACATGAAACAGCATGACGATTTGTACATGAAACAGTATGGCGACTTATAGATTTAATATCATGGCGATTTGTACATGAAATAGCATAGCGATTCGTACATGAAACATCATGGCGATTTGTAGATCAAATAGCATGGCGATTTGTACATAAAATAGTATAGCGACTCGTACATGAAACAGCATGGCGATTTGTAGATCAAATAGCATGGTGATTTGTACATGAAATAGCATAGCGACTCGTACATGAAACAGCATGGCGATTTGTACATGAAATAGAATAGCGACTCGTACATGTAACAGTATGGCGATTTGTAGATAAAATAGCATGGCGTTTTGTACATAAAAAAGCATAGCGACTCGTACATGAAACAGCATGGCGATTTGTAGATCAAATAGCATGGTGATTTGTACATGAAATACCATGCCACGACTTGTACATGAAACAGCATGGTGATTTGTAGATCAAATAGCATGGTGATTTGTACATGAAATACCATAGCCACGACTTGTACATGAAACAGCATGGTGATTTGTAGATCAAATAGCATGGTGATTTGTACATGAAATAGCATAGCGACTCGTACATGAAACAGCATGGCTATTTGTACATGAAATAGAATAGCGACTCGTACATGTAACAGTATGGCGATTTGTAGATCAAATAGCATGGTGATTTGTACATGAAATAGCATAGCGACTCGTACATGAAACAGCATGACGATTTGTACATGAAATAGAATAGCGACTCGTACATGTAACAGTATTGCGATTTGTAGATTAAATAGCATGGCGTTTTGTACATAAAAAAGCATAGCGACTCGTACATGAAACAGCATGGCTATTTGTAGATCAAATAGCATGGTGATTTGTACATGAAATACCATAGCCACGACTTGTACATGAAACAGCATGGTGATTTGTAGATCAAATAGCATGGTGATTTGTACATGAAATACCATAGCCACGACTTGTACATGAAACAGCATGGTGATTTGTATACATGAACAGCGTATGACGACTAGTAGATTAAATAGCATGGGGATTTGTACGTGAAATAGCATAGCGACTTGAACATGAAACAATAATTTTAAAGTACTAAGGGAATGGCATACTTAAATTTTGATCAACGTAATGATGAACAATGTAGAGTTAATGTGTGAACTATTTTCTTATATAATCTGAAATTATCACAATTTAAACTGACACAAAACTTTCGAGGAACAAAAAACCAGACTGGTACAAATTGTACATCTTTCACGACATTACTTACTGCAACAATTTATGCAAAAATGCTCTCTTCCTCCATTGTGTGTTTTAAAATAAACACAAAAATGTTTTACTACTAGTATTCGTTTTTTTATAAACATTTATAAATCTCACAACTTGATGGCAGATAATTAACCAAACGTTGGTTTTGTTAATAAAAATAAATTCAACATTCGGTATTCTCCACTGAAACAGGTAAAGGCGAACATGAGATGGTTTTTTTTTAAATTGACATTTCGAACGCCTTTTTTCTGACGACGAAGGTTCTTTGGGCTTGAACCAACGATGATTTACGTGTATAGATATTTATTTACTTTTTTCACTTGGTAAAGCTCAACCTGTTGTCCTTGCTATATATATACATGCTGTAGTAATTACTTGTGATCGCTTAATTATATGATATCTTGATGTATGTTTAATTTGAGATTGTGTTTGTTTTGTTGTTTTTTTGTTGTTGTTTTTTTCTAAAATAAAAACTAAAAATTATAATGTTGTTGGTAATAAAGAAAAGCAAGGGTGAAAAATGTGTGTGTTTGTTCGGGTTTGGGGACGGGAGGATATTTTCATTAAATACTCAGGAAATGGGAATAAGTTTAAAAAAAACTTTCATCATAAAGTAACACAGCTCAGATGCTGGATTTAACACATTTACAGACAACCCACTCAAAACATGATAAAACTTCGATTAAATTTCGGAATTTTCACGTGCAGCAGGCTCAATGGTAAATGATCATAAAAAGCTCGTAACGTGAGATCACTTGAAAGCGTTGACCCTAAGCCAGAAAACCTAGTCAGCAATGATCAAAATGTAATTATGCATTTAGAAGTGCATTCTTTCTGTTACTTCACGTTAAATCTGATTGAGATTGCAAGATGTATATACAAATAATCGTAGATGAAAGAATATTTACCACGAGATAACGCGATATAATTAAAACTTTAAAATCTCTTAAGTTTTAATTTCTTTATATTTTTTTTCTTCAACTTTCCAATTCACACAAGCGCAATTCTTAAAAATGTTGTATCCAGTTTTACTTTTTGTTAATCTATTTTTTTCTACCTGACTAAATTGATTCTCATTCCTAATTAAGTTTACTTATCATTTTTAACGTAAATTAATGAGAAATTAATGTAACTGTCCGATTTGCACGAGTCCAGAAAAAGTGGTGTCGCTACTCGTGCTTAAAGCACGTGCTTAGATGTTGCTGTAAACTATGGTATATTAATTGTTAATTCTCATGTGTATAAAACTGAGTTTTAAAAGCATTGTAAATGAAAAAACAAAAGTTTTACTATTGTATTTTTTTTGCAGCACATGTACGTTCTTTCATACACGAATTTAATACGATCATTTGAAATAAAAAGTAAAATCACTTACCTCTATACGTTAGTACGGACTGACGGACAGTAATTCCTATATATACATATAAAACACTGTATATATCGGTATATCTCAAGTATTGAAATATTCATCGATGTAACTTATTGATGAACTTTTATCCGGAGTAAGTGCTTGTTAAAGGAATTTTTATGTCCACGGCATATAATGTTATCTAAAATGATTTGAGATTAGTTTTCAGCTTGTTGATAGACACTATGAACGGAACAAGGCATTGCAAGATACATGACAGATTTATGTGCAAAATAATTACGTTTCCCCAAACAAAATTACTGCATTAAATCAGAAAGTAGTTTGCATAAGTACAAGTGAAATGATGATTAAAACAAACTTAAAACACTCCGTCGATCAATGTTCACCTAGGTTTAAACCGTACATATAAGTGTGGATGAAGGTGAATACAGGTGTTACTATACGTAGTTATATAGGTTCAGTCTTAAAACTTCAGTCACATACCTTATTTAGATTTAGAAGGTTGGCATTAATAAAGTTGGTATAAATTCGCTAAAACCATACTTTACTACCTTATCCTTTATAATTCGTGGTCGTGTGCTTACTTGGTCCTCACCGTGGTCATGTTGTTACTTGGCCCACACCGAGTACTTGGCCCTTCCAGTAGAATTGTGTTTTGGCCCTTGTTGGGGTCGTGTTGTGTCTTGGCTCTCATCGTGGTTTCTTGTAACTCGCCATGTTCGTGTGGCTACCTGGTCTCTCCGTGATCGTGTAGTTACTTTTCTTCATTTGGGTGTGGCCAATTGCCTCCTCACAATGGCGGTGTGGTAACTCGGCACCCAATCAGGCCTTGTGGTTACTAGGCCCTCACTAGGGTCGTGTTGTTTCTGGGCCCTGACTGGGGTCTGTTGTTTATGGGCCCTGACTGGGGTCGTGTTGTTACTGGGCCCTCACTGGGGTTGTGTGGTTAATAGGCCTTTACTGGGTCGTGCTGTTACTGGGCCCTCACTGGGACTGTGTGGTTACTAGGCCCTTACCGGGGTCGTGTTGTTACTTGGCCTTCACCGGGGTATTATTGTTACTTGGCCTTCACCGGGGTAGTGTGGTTATTTGGCATTCACTGAGTTTGTTAAGTTACTTAGCACTCGCCGCAAAGGGAGGGGGCGGGGGTGAATAGTGAATACCGCTGAGAAGGTATTAATTTATTTGTCTTTATATTCTGCGATTTATTTCTTTTTGATTGGGTTTTACGTCGCACCAACACAGTAAATGTCATATGGTGACTTTCCAGTTTTACAGGTGGTGAAAGACCTGTCCCCCTCCGTGCAATATTTCAGGCACAAACTTAACTTGAGTAGAACCACAGACATTCTGTAAGCTAGCTGACATGAAAGAATCCCCCCAAAAAATTCTTACTTCCCTAGAAAGGCCAACATGAATTTTATAACGTTAAAATAAGGGTTTTAGAGCATGTAAATTGCATGCTACCTGAATAAAGTAGTGCTGACTGTGAAATAATTTGTCATAAAAGTAGCAAAATGTAAACAACGTAGTATTTTGACTTTCATACAAAATTCTAAATCATTATAACTGTACTAATTACCATAAAGCAACAGAAGATGAGGAGGATTGAGGTATAATTGGCCAATGAGTAACTTTAAGGAAACCATAAATACATCCAAAATACAAAGCTTTTGAGAAAAATATTTTGGGAGCATAAAGAACCTTTAAGGTTTAGTCCCTTTTAAACTGGAACAAGATTGACTTGATTTATTGTTCCATCTTGAACAATAATATATAAGTTTTAATCAATGATGTTAAAGATTAAGTTTAGTGAAAATCCAACAATTATTTTATGATAAAATAGATGTTAAAAACCTTATAAGATCTTGTTTGTCTCATTAACAGGATAAATCATATTCGAATAATTCTTGGACAAAAATTCACAAAGATAAGTCATAAAAGAATGTATTGAACCTGCCATATAAATAAGCTTAAACAAGTTAAGTATTAAACAATATTTGACAAAAATGTCTCTAAATAGATAAAAAAAGAACTAACAACATTTAATTTCAAAATCATGTATTTTTCTATTTTCATTAAAAACATCCCTTCAACAATCAAGATAAAATCACAAAATTGATAACAAAGCCAATCACCGTATTATCAATTAACAAAAGTAAAAAAAACCCACTGAGATCACAATTATAACTAATTCTATACTTCAAAAACAAATATCTAAAATTATATGGCTATTTCTCTTAATATTACAATAAAACTGGTGGATTAATTTTCTACATGGTATATAACTATTGACTTAATCTTCTACTTGGTATATATTTGCTTATTTAATCTTCTATTTGGAAAATAATTGCTTATTTAATCTTCTACATGGTATATAACTGGTTATTTGATCTTCTACATGGTATATAACTGGTTATTTGATCTTCTACATGGTATATAACTGGTTATTTAATCTTCTATATGGTACAAATGTATATAACTGGTGACTTAATCTTCTACATGGTATATAATTGCTTATTTAATCTTCTACATGGTATATAACTGGTGACTTAATCTTCTACATGGTATATAATTGCTTATTTAATCTTCTACATGGTATATAACTGGTGACAATCTTCTGCATGATATATTATTGCTTATCTACATGTTATTGGTATATAACTGGTGGATTATTTTACATAAGTGGTATATAACTGGAGACTTAATCTACATGGCATATAATTGGTGGATTTACTTACTATGTGGTATATAATTGGTGAGTTAATCTCCTTCATGGTATATAACTGGTGACCTTATCTTCTACATGGTATATAACTGGTTATTTAATCTTCTACATGGTATATAATTGCTTATTTAATCACCTACATGGTATATAACTGGTGACAATCTTCTGCATGGTATATAACTGGTGATAATCTTTTCCATGATATATAATTGCTTATCTACATGTTATTGGTATATAACTGGTGGATTATTTTACATAAGTGGTATATAACTGGAGACTTAATCTACATGGCATATAATTGGTGGATTTACTTACTATGTGGTATATAATTGGTGAGTTAATCTCCTACATGGTATATAACTAGTGACCTTATCTTCTTCATGGTATATAACTGGTGGATTTATTTACTATATTAATTATAAGAATTTTTGACAGGTTATATGGCCCTAAATAAATGGCTGTTAGGAAATATTATCTGAGCCTCCAGGCGATGGTTATATTGCAAACAACCAGTTCATATAACCTGTCAGGAATGTTATAACAAATTTATAATACAGCAACTTCCTTTTTCTAGACAAAAAGCGAGATTTCTAAGAAAATTGACAGCAGTTATGTATATAAAACTATATAAATGTCACGATTATCCAATGAAAAGTGACAAATGTGCAGAATTATAAAGTGGTATATAACTATCAAGTTAATTTTCTACATGGTATATAACTGGTAAGTCTATATGGTATATACGTCTTCTACATAGAAGTTAATCTTCTACATTTTATATAAGAATTTGAAAAAAATATAAAAAAGCACTAATATGTACAGCATTGTAACTTGTAAAGGTTAAAAACACGAGATACTGTAAACAATTCTAGCAAATTTATCACTTGTTGTACAACATCTTTAAGAAATTTTTATTTACTATCATATTCTTCATTATCCAGATATATTCTTTTTCAAATTATACAATCTTACACAGATATAAGAAGAAAAAGTATAGCTATAAACAATCATTTACAAATAAATATATTTTAAAACTATTTTTTTTTCATTTACCTCTTAAAATACATTGTTCCAGCAACAACAACAACATTTAATTGCTTATTTCTGTATCACACTTCTGTTTATGTTAAAATAATTGGACTAGAATAACATAACAGTATCTCTGAATAGATAATTAATTATCTTAATCAAGTTTTCATAAAAAAAAGAAAGTGCAGCTAGAAAATATTTGTTAATGTACATGGTCTATCTAACAAGAGTGAGTGGCTCCAGTAGATGCTCCCCAACATGTATGTAACTTAAACAAAGGTAAAAAAGTAGTCTCCCAAGAAGAAATAGAAAATTCTATTTTTAGCCACAGTGACCTTAAATTTGACCCATGCAACCCCACCCAAAATTATTTCATAAAAGCGTTCATTATGATATCTGGGCAATAAATGAAGACTTACTTGTGAAATATCAACACCTAAGTGTATATAACAGACCAAAAGCCATAATAAAAGCTATAAACTCCACTAAAACATGGAGCAAAAACAATCCTACACAAATATAAACATGACAGATTCTGCATAGATATATTCGTATTATAGACTAGCATTTATTTTGGCATCTTAATAAAGTTGAACATATTTATACTTCAACATTCAAAACAATGTTGTAAGGCACTTTTCTGTTGGATTATATTTATATGAAAAAATTGCAGCACTAAAACAGAACTAAAGTAGTTATCTATTATCTCCAGTCTTCTCAATGACTTGGATCTGAGACAAACATGTTATATCAATGATATGATATACAATGTACATGAAACTCCCAGGGAGTTATGTATCTACACTTGACATGTACATGAAACTCTCTGTTAGTAATTTGTCTACAATGTACATGAATCTCCCTTGGAGAAATTTATCTTAACTGTACATGAAACTCTCTCCTAATGATTTCTCTACAATGTACATGAAACTCCCATGGAGAAATTTATCTTAACTGTACATGAAACTCCCTGTTAATGATTTCTCTACAATGTACATGAAACTCCCTTGGAGAAATTTATCTAAACTGTACATGAAACTCCCTGTTAATGATTTCTCTACAATGTACATGAAACTCCTTTGGAGAAATTTATCTAAACTGTACATGAAACTCCCTGTTAATGATTTCTCTACATTGTACATGGAACTCCCTTGGAGAAATTTATCTAAACTGTACATGAAACTCCCTGTTAATGATTTCTCTACAATGTACATGAAACTCCCTTGGAGAAATTTATCTACTATGAACATAAAAGACCCTGGGAGTGATTTATCTATGATGTACATGGAACTCCTTTGGAGAAATTTATCAACACTGTACATGAAACTCTTTTGAATGATTTAGTTTAACTCCATGCAAGCATGCTAAGCATTTTAACAATAAGATCTCAATTAAACAATGGATTTCAAGACCCCAAACGTAACAATTTCTGGTTAAAAGTTTGTTGAACATACAGAGCCATCTAATAATACCTTTACACCAACTGGAAACTTGCTTTGTGGTTCATATACCATAATATATATCTGTTGATCAAGTCGTTATCACAATGATATACTGTATGAGGGGGACCTTCATACACATATATTTTATCTATTTATTTATTTTTTAACATATTTATTGCATTAGTGTACTATAACTGACTGCAACATAAATAAGTCAAGAAATTATCAGAAAATCAAAGAAATAATATCAATCTATTCATAGTAAAAAATTATACAATTAAATTCTCCATAGCTTATGTAACTTCTGATGAATAACTGGTTCCTTTCTCTTTGGTAAAAATAAGCCTTTGACATTGTAAATATTAAAATTATTGCAAATATCATTGTGGTTTTGTTTCAAGACTTTCCAGGTTGCAAGTGTATGGTATATTGAATGTTCTTGTTGAACGATAAAGTCTAATGAATAAAATGATCATTCCAGACACACCACATAATGACTTTATAAATTTCTTATATTTTGATCTTATTATACTCATTTATAGATATTGTTTTAAATGGATGAATATTTTGCACATCAAGTAAAATCTATATATTAAGAGATATAAAGGTAATTAAAGATGGCGCTGTATATATGTTTGTATATGACACTTGATAGTTTATTTAACATTAGCCAGTGCTGGGATAATCTGACAGTATATATCTATCCCCTTCAGGAAAACATCTTCATTAAGGAACTCGTTATGATCGTGTAACAATATCGGTGTGTTGTTCATCGGAGAAAATCCTAAAGCGGGATAACCAGCCTGAAATATAAACATACACGTAAAATATGTTAAAATTAGAAAATACAGGCAAAATATGTTAATAAGAAAATACAGGTAAAATATATTAATTAGAAAATACAGGTAAAATATGTTAATAAGAAAATACAGGTAAAATATATTAATTAGAAAATACAGGTAAAATATGTTAATAAGAAAATACAGGTAAAAAATGTTAATAAGAAAATACAGGTAAAATATGTTAATAAGAAAATACAGGTAAAATATATTAATTAGAAAATACAGGTAAAATATGTGAATTAGAAAATACAGGTAAAATATGTGAATTAGAAAATACAGGTAAAATATGTGAATTAGAAAATACAGGTAAAAGTGTAACAGGCACTTGAGTAGAACCACTGCAATTCTGTAAGCAAGCTGGATAGCTTCCATCCCATAAAACAATATTTGACCCCACAGTTGTGAGAGGCAAGTGGTTTAAATACAACCATAACCTAACGGCAACATTAATCCCTATATAACTATAAATATATAATGATTATAATCATTACCAACCTGAAACCTAAGTAAAATCTAACTTACCTCCCTTAGAAACCTACTATCTGTACCAGCAGGGAAAATCTCCTTCTCGAGTACCATACCCCTGTAGTGAAGAAATAAAGTATGAATATACAAATATATAGAGGATATTTGTTTGTTTGTGTGTAAGATGAAATTTTATTTCATCGAGTGGGCTTTAAAAACAGTATTCTCACAAGTGGCGAAGCCACGAGTGAGAATACTGTTTTTAAAGTTCACGAGATGAAATAAAATTACATCTTACACAACAAACAGACAAATTTACTTTTTATTTTATGCTTAAAAACAAGTTAAAACGAAATTTCCATTATTTTAACGTTAATATTAAAACTGTTTCCCCCATTGATAGCCCCATTTATTCGGAATTTCTCATTAAAAAAAAGAAGTCTTGAGCTGAAAAATAAGTCCGCCAATCAACATTAAATGACGGTGATATTTATTAATTTTATTAAAAAAATATGAATGATCGCTTGTTTTGATAATAAAAACAAACAATTCTTGTAGGAGAAAAAGTCCAACCATCCATCCATATTTCTGTTACTTAGTGCGAATTTATATTAGACCTGGCTTTGTAAATTGTAAGCGGCAGCCATTTTTTTAAGTTGTGTATTTCATGGGAGGAAAATAATTGTGTAAGATTCAGAGGGATATAATTTGGATTTGTTGGTCATACACATTTTTAAAAGAAAGAAAACTTATTTGAGGATTGTAACAGACAAAAAATAAGTGTTGACAGATGTGAAAACATTCAGAAAAGGAGCTAGGAAAATGGAAAACTTGGAAACCTGCTCAAGAACGCTGGGTTGATTTAACTTATTCTTCGAGTTATGGCTGTCAATGCTTTCAATTTTTCATAAAGCATACGGCAGTTATTGCTCGTAGGATACTTTAACATGCCCAAAGAGCAGTTTTGCATGGGGAAGGAATGCATTTTTGAGACTGTCAAAATGAAACAAAAAAACGAAATTTGGTGATTGGAATTTCATGAATTTGAATGAATAGAAGTAAGTTTTCTTCTTTTTATTACTTTTGACATTTAAGTTATTTATCAATTTCAGTTTTGCTTTTTCTTTAAACAGCCTGACATTGTCAGAATTGTCAGCAAAAATAAAATTGAGGTACCACATGGGGAAAATCTTAAAAAAGTAGTTTCGTCATTGAAAAGAGTGAAATTATATTTTGATAATTTTCACTGTGAAAATACCAAATATAATTTTCACGGATAAATCAGTAATCCATTGAAAAGCATAAAATAAAACATGGTATATAATGCTGCTAGTCAAAGAATGTGCTTTGTCATTTTTTTTTTATCAAAATTCATCCCTGAACTCAAGTATAATCCTTTAGAAATGAACACATGTGTTAAGTAAAATGAATAACTTAAATGATTTAGGGGATAATTATTGATAACATATATTAAACCTGTATTTTTTTTTCTAAGTTGAAGTTTAGGGGCACAATTTCAGTTTAAGGGCACAATTTCAAGAAATATCAGGCACAGGCCACATTTAGAGGTTGGACTCCTGGTTGGACAGACCAACTATGAACTGTTAAATGATTTGTTGGGCGAGGTTTAACTGACACTACCACTGTATATGGTGACATTGTGACATTCCAGCTTTACCGAGAAAGATCTCAGATGCCCATCTAAGCATTATTTCAGAACAATACAATCAATGTCCTCATTAATAATGTATTTTGTCAAGATAAATAAAGATATGACAACTAATTTTGTATATAATTAATATTAAAAAAAACCATTACAGTGCTATTCCAATTTATATGTTTTTTTTCTCCCATGACTTTATTTCTGTGTATTCTGCAGTCAGTTTTAGCATTGCAGAAATAAAAACCCCAGAATATTTCTTCATGTTTTGGTGTTTAACCTGTTATGATACATGTATGTGTCCTACATTCGTTTAAAGTAATAACGACTAACGAAATTTGGAGCCTGCAAAAAAAAACAAGAGGGCCATGATGGCCCTGAGGTCGCTCACCTGTATATAGGCCCCCCCACCCCCAGGCCAATTTTTACCCAAGGGCTTTTATTTGTTTATTTGAACAGACTTGGTAGACACCCATAAGAAGATGTTTCATGCTAAACATCTAAGTTCTAGCTCATTGGGTTTTTTAAAAGAAGATTTTTAAAGTTTTTACTATACACATATAGTTAAAAACAATGACACCCCTGGGGCAGGGCCAGTTTTGACCCCCGGGCTTTTATTTGAACAAACTTTGTAGATATTTACTTAAAGATGTTTCATGCTTAATATCTAAACTCTAGCTATTTGGGTTTTTTCAAAGAAGATTTTTAAGTTTTTGCTATACACATATAAGGAAAATCAATGACCCCCCGGGCGGGGCCAGTTTTGACCCCAGGGCTTTTATTTGAACATACTTGGTAGACACCCATTAGAACATGTTTCATGCTAAATATCTTAGCTCTAGCTCTTTGAGTTCTTTAAAAGAAGATTTTTTAAGTTTTTGGGGCGGGGCCAATTTTGACCCCAGGGCTTTTATTTGAACAAACTTGGTAGACACTCATTAGAAGATGTTTCATGCTAAATATCTTAGCTCTAGCTCTTTGGGTTCTTTAAAAGAAGATTTTTTAAGTTTTTACTATATGCATATAGAGAAAATCTATGACCCCCTGGGGCAAGGTCAATTTTGACCCCAGGGCTTTTATTTGAACAAACTTGGTAGACATTCACTAGAAGACGTTTCATGCCAAATATCTAAGCTCTAGCTGTTATGGTTCTTTAAAAGAAGATTTTTTAAGTTTTTACTATATGCATATAGGGAAAATCAATGACCCCCGGGGCGGGGCCAATTTTGACCCCAGGGCTTTTATTTGAACGAACTTGGTAAACATTCACTAGAAGATGTTTCATGCCAAATATCTAAGCTCTAGCTCTTACGTTTCTTTAAAAGAAGATTTTTTAAGTTTTTACTATATGCATATAGGGAAAATCAATGACCCCAGGGGCGGGGCCAATTTTGACCCCAGGGCTTTTATTTGAACAAACTTGGTAGACACTCACTAGAAGATGATTCATGCCAAATATCTTAGCTCTAGCTCTTTGGGTTCTTTAAAAGAAGATTTTTTAAGTTTTTACTATATGCATATAGGGAAAATCAATGACCCCCTGGGGCGGGGCCAATTTTGACCCCAGGGCTTTTATTTGAACAAACTTGGTAGACACTCACTAGAAGATGTTTCATGCCAAATATCTAAGCTCTAGCTCTTAGGGTTGTTTAAAAGAATATATTTAAAGATTTTTCTTTCTGTTGCCATGGCAACCAGAGTTCTGCATGGAATTAAATTCTTTGAACAATTTTTAAAGGAGACCACCAAAGGAACATTCCTGTGAAGTTTGGATGAAATTGGCTCAGTGGTTTATGAGGAGATGTCATTTAAAGCAAAAGTTTACGGACGGACGGACGCCGGACGAAAAGCGATCACAAAAGCTCACCCTGTCACTTTGTGACAGGTGAGCTAAAAAAACACTTATTTGGTAACATAAAATTACAAAATAATGTTATCAGTTTTTTTTTTCCACATTTTATAATACAGGGTAAATGTTAAGTGGTAAATACATTTTTGACCTGGATATGGTACAAGGGAAGTAAGTCCTGCTAACTGTTTTGAAGAACAAGGAGTATACAAGTTGTTAAAATACTTACAGAGATTCACATGCAGTAGAAAAGGCGTTCCACCAAGGATCTGACTTGTCTGTACTAGTCAATGTTTGATCATCACATTTCTATATACAGTAATAGGTAAATTACTTACTTCTGTAAACTTTGTAATATTTTCAAGTAAGATTTTAAGTCAAACCCACACTTAGCTACTTTTCAGGTTAACAAGTGGAGGTTATGTGCTAATGTTTTGTACTTTATAACTTGTGACACAATCCGGTGTACATCTTGTTGATATTATATTGTGTATTTGGGCTGATGGCCTAGAATTACATTACAATAAACTTGAAACTTGGTGAACCCCCTGTGCTACATATATGCAATATTTCAGACACATGGGTGCACCTGAGTAGAATTGTCGACCATTGGCAAGCTAGCTGGATAGATTCCTCACATGAAAAAAATCATATTTAACTCAAGTGACCTGCTTGCACATCAGACTAGAATCGTAACTGTACTTTTATATAACTTTCATAGAAAGCCACATCAGGATCATATCTGTATAGATTTTTCAAAATCTTACACACCATTTCACATGAAATGTTGTTTTCGTATTTAAAAAAAGTTGCAAATAACATTAAATTAATGATAGATAATGGATATTAAGTGATAACAAAATATAAAAACTTTGTCTAAGTTGGGCTAAAAAATGGCAAAATGTACCACACTGTATGTCACAAATCAATACATTACCTGAATGAAACTGTAAGTGACATCTTCCCCAGCCTCCTCACACCAAGTTTTTATTTTCTCCTCAAATTCTACAAGATCTACTGTAGGAGCAATGCGAATATCAAACCCTTAAATAACCAGAAATAGACATACATATAAATACTTACAATAGTCAGAAATAGATAAACACCTTAATACTAACAATAGTCAGAATAAAAACCTTTAATAGTTAGCCAAGCAGAGGAAAATTAAGAGGAAACAAAATTATTTTAGCATGATTGTGATGCAAGCAAGGAGATTCTAAAACATTGCAAGTTGAAAATTTGGAAAAACCTGAAAACTGTAATTTAAAATCATTTTCCTAAATAATCTAATAGTAAAACATGATGAAATTTGTCACAAAAAAACCTGAGCCTGAAAACTTGCACCCATGTGAATATGATATACACATTATAAAGCTTTTCTATTATTATTCTGTATCATGTAAATAGTAAAAATTTGCATTAGATTATCTATATTGAACACTCTAATCTTATACAAAGCAGGAACAAAACTTTCCTAATGTGTCTAAATAATAAATAGTGTAAAACAATAGTGTATAAAGTATAAGAATAATAATTGTTTTTCTTTGGTAACATACTTACCTACTTTCATTTCATTTGGTACTACATTAAACTGTACACCTCCCTGTAATGTAAACATATACAATGATGATACATAAAGGAAGTTTTTGGGAGTTTTCATATATAGGCAGAATTTCAACTGTTTAATGACTTCTAATCCAGTTACCTCTCTGGCGTGGGTTCGATCCCCGGAGATGCTTTGGTAGTTTAGCACGAAGGAAGGTAGTCTAGTACTGGTGTAACTCTCCAGGAACGATGGTTAGGAAACTACCCGCCTATATGACTGAAATACTGTTGGGAAAAGGCGTAAAATGAAACGAACAAACAAAACAACTGTTTAATCGACTTTCTTTAACTTAACATGTTGTTAGAATATGATGACTGAAATATTTTGAGGTAACAAAAGTTGGGTATCTGGTTAGTTTGAACATATTTATCTAAGCTCAATTGCGAAACAAGTTCTTGCAACTTATTTTAATCACTTTTGAGTCCGCTTCCGGGAGCGAACCAGTACTGGTGACATATGAAGGAACATGGTCTTGATCAGAGTAGTAGTTGGGTATTTATTTTTTATATAAAAGAAGAAACCAGAAACTACATATTCAAACATAAAGGAAGTTAAGAGCAAAACAAATTTTACCTCTAGCATGGTTAAATTGATAGTAGTTACTTCCCCTAATGTGAGACAGCCGGAACTTTTTAACCTTCAAAAGAAAATCATGTTCAAATAAATCAACTAAAATACAGCTCCTGTTAAGATTATAATTAGTAGAAAATATTTTGAAATATGCTATACAATAAAAGCCTATTACATCACAAATTTTTTTTTTCATATCTCAAATGCTTTTTATTTTTTTGGTGTCCTGTAAGTTTAAAAAAAACAACTGATTAGCCATTTATCTGGGCAATTTCTTGCTTCTGTTGCATTCTGGCAGTTAGTACAGATATAGTGATTTAGTATTTTGTATGGTAGTCAAAATACAACCTTGTTCATATTTTGCTACTTTTATGACAACTTGTTTTTACATTCATGCTATTATCTTCTGGAAACAAGCATTAAAGGTGCTCTTTAACCATTATTTAAACATTGTAAAACTTGTATGTTCCCTTTCTTAAGAAAGACAATAATACACGTTTCTTAGGCATAATGTGCCTTTAAACCTTTATTCTATGGAATGAAGTTCTTCAGAAAATAAATTTCCACACTGTAGGGTAAAACTTGAAATCTTAACCCTTATTAAAAACAAGGAAATCAATGCAAATGTTCTTACTTTTTTTCTTCCATGCCTCGAAAATCCAGGAATTTATTGATCACTCTTCTCTGAAATGAACAAATATATAATACTATAATTGAGCCATGCCATGACAAAACCAACATAATGGGTGTGCTACCTGTGCATTTTCCTAACTATGACCATCAAATATTGATCAGTTATGTAGTTTTGTTTGTGAATTACCACTGGACAATGCTTGAACATGACTTTTGTTCTACCATTGAATTGTTACACTCCAGATCTGATTTTTTTGCATGTGTCATTGAAGTTTGATCAGGAGAAACTGATAGTTGTGACCAGCATGGATCTAGACCAGCCTGCGCATCCGCGCAGTCTGATCAGGATCCATCCTGTTCGCTATCAGTTTCTCTACTTGTTATAGGGTTTGTAAGCGAACAGCATGGATTCTGATCAGACTGTGCGGATGCGCAGGCTGGTCTGGATCCTTGCTGGTCGCAAACCCATTACGTTGGTTTTGTCATGGCACGGCTCAATCATAACTGTTGCTTTATGTTTCTTATTATGCTATTGGCAATGTCTTCAAAAGGTGAAAAGAACAGTACAATATTGAAATATTCAAGTGGAAAACTTGAAGTTATAGCTTTAACCTGTATGCTGATGACTTTGTGCAATGGAATAGATCCTTTTCACAACTGATGCATAATACTTCATCACGTCACCATTTGAAGGTAATTTTCAAAACATTATATGCTTAAGACATAAAAAATCTCATACAATTTTATCATCTTTATGTAACAATCATAAAAACATTTTAGATATTGGTACTTTAGTAATATTCTAACGTAATTTGATAATGAAAAAGAATTTGACAATTCGACGGAATAAACTGATCCTTTGCTTATTTACGTATTTTGCCTATTATATGCATATGGGGCATTACTCCATAATCATTGCTTTCAAAATCATGCCCCTAGTCTAACAACAGCACCTTGTCATGATCAGAAAGTGCTGATACTCTTTGAAATGTTTGAATAATAGGCTACATTAAAGCTTTTGCAAGACAAAAACAAAACCAATGATGACATAGCGATCATAATACCTGAATTTTTTCTTCGAAACAGACAAGCTAATAATCACCCCTAAAATGCCTGCTACTTTTGTCAAGGAAGGTATTATTTAAAAACTCGGGCAGTATCCATTGCCCCACTTAAGATATAAATAAAAATGTTTGTGTGATTATCAACATAATAATTGTTATAATATAAACATTATACATACCAGTTTTTCTGCTGCTGTATTCTCTATAAATCTTGACCCATGACCTGGGTTACCATGGCATTTAACAAGAACCCCTGTATTATAAAAATATTAATTTATTCAAATTTTGGCCGCTATTCAAATTCAACAAAAAACAACAACACTCTGAACTTTAGAATATCTTTGTTTTGATGTTTAAGAAACAAAATGAGTAAATTTTGTCTTATATTTGAAAAGAAATTTTTGTCAATTAAAATTTACTTTAAAATTAGCACAACCCTTATTCTGTTAAATGATAAAATTCGTTATTTTATAAAAATTTACCAACTTACACCAGGGATTTCGTTCGCCATAGAAAACTGTGAAAGCATCTTTAGGATTAGCTAGCCCTGAAATAAATATCAATGATTCATATGATAATTAGAATCTTTAATTTTTGATTAAATATCATATTCTCCTTAAAAAATGGAAGGAAATTCGCCTCAATTTATGAATATAAACTTAGGCTAGTTAAATCAAAGGACAATAATTGCCCTATATTGCTCACCTGAGAAAAACTGCTTCACATGGTCATAATTTCTACTGTGCAAAAGTTGGTCACTGGATCATAAATTATTAAAAAATTTCCACTATTTTGAAGTTTGATTTTCTTGAAATATTTTGGCTCATCTGGTGGCATGGCACGCAGCTTTAAACATAAAATTGTTTATTTCTTTTTTATTTCTTTTTTTTTTATCTTACTTTAGTGAATGCTTTGATTGATTTGATGCAAAAACAACAACTTTTAAAGGCTGTAAAGACTGCTTATTTTTCAGGTTGTGAAAGAAGGGAGATCACTCAAGTCAGTATAAACATTATTTAAATCAAAAAGGAGATTACCCATGTTGTAAGTATCATTATATAAAAAGTTTGAAGTAATAAATTCGGAATACTGCAGACTTACCTTCATCTAACGCAAAACCAATATTCATCTTCTTGAACTCCTCACGCTTTAAAAATAATTTCATACCCAAAATTCCACCGGTCTCTTCATCTGTAATAAATAAAATATCATTTGAGCTGCGTCCTGACAAAACCAACATAATGGGTTTGCGACCAGCATAGATACAGACCAGCCTGCGCATCCGCACAGTCTGATCAGGATCCATGCTGTTCGCTATCAGTTTCTCTACTTGTAATAGGGTTGGTAAGCAAACAGCATGGATCCTGATCAGACTGCGTGGAATCGCAGGCTGGTGTGGATCCATGCTGGTCGCAAACTCATTATGTTGGTTTTGTCATGATGCGGCTTATTTATACAATATAATCATGGGACTAACAATTTCCCTGTGTTGAGATACCCAGTCTATAGACAGTGACTTAAGGTGATACTGATATAAACAAAAAACATCATGAAACCTGGCCCTTTAGTTATCCGTCAATTATCAGGAACCAACCAACAAATGACTTTATGAGATGTAGGGTACTGGCTGCCCAATAATGAATGTTACATAGAATAAACATAACCCTAAGGTTCAGACAGTGTTTTTTCTGTTAAAATAATAGGGCTTTTTGCTTTGCATTTTTGTGAACATTTACAAGCTTTTGAAAGAAATATGAATGCTAAAAATTCTGCACTTTCTGGCTTGTTCATTTGAAAGAAAGAAAGAAAATTAGACAACTGAGATTCACCGAATGAAGAATTTTTATTTTGGTCATATTATAAAAGTTACTGTATAAAGATTTCGGTGAACATTCTCCAAGACATGTACATGTCCTGCCTCAGCACTAATCTCATTATATATTTCATAAATTGACTGGTTGATCCTACAATCTAGATAAAACCATGCATCATTTTACGAGAAAATTTTATAATATGTTCTAACTGGATAGTGAACAGAGCGAACCAGAATAAGTCATTTTGTTTATTGAGAAGATACAGTTAACTTTACCTAATTAGTAAAATGAAACCTAGACAAGTTATAGGTTATACCTGGCACAAATGTCAGATGAATTGTTCGTCTAAATTTTTGTCCTGCTTTCTTCAACTTTCTGACTGCTTCTAAATACCTGAAACAATAACAACTTTACTTAAAGGCCCATTAAGCCTCATTAATGCTTTTATTTATATTTTTCAAAAGCTTTTATTTTTCGTGTACTTTTATAGTTTCCAAAAAGTAAGTCATAGGCAAATTGCCTTTACTATCTTTTTCATCTGTTGTCTTAAGGCAAATAGTACAGTTGTAGTGATTTGGTATTTTGTAAGGAAGTCAAAATGCTACTTTTGCTATAATTATGACAAATTATTTCACATGAACTTTCTTTAGGTTACAAGCATCTAACTTGCTCTAAAACAATTATCTAAACGTTATTTAATTTGTGTTTGCCCATTCTGAAGAAGTAAAGAGTCATTCATTTTTGAGGCATAGTGTGCCTTTAACATGTAACACTGACTGTTAAGTTTAAATTATTAATTGCATGCTAGTATGGGAATGTCTTTACTGAATAAGTTGCAAAAAAATCTAATCAATGGTTATATAATTACAAATTTGTAAGTGACATTATGCATGTAATAATCTTCTAAATTGTTCTGTAAACTTAATAAAAAAATCCCTTTCTTAAGTACCACAATCAATGTTGAACTGTTTAGTACTACATGTATTGGAAGTTTAAGGGTCATTTACTTACTGTATTCCAACACTTTTCATGTCCTGAAAGAAATGAAATCATAACATGACTATAAGTACTGTGCTTACACAGTTACACAGTATTGTCCATCACTGAAGACAGTTCCAGAATTATTAAAATTAAGTGTTTAAATCAACACAAGAAAATTTAATAATTCAGAAGTTAATATTCTCTAGCACATAGTTTTACTATCTGTTCATGGGCAATAACTCCTGACAGACTACAAAGATTTGAAAATAATAATAATAACACAATCTACATATAATTATTCCTGTTAAACATGCAAGAAATATTTTAATTCTCTTAAAAATTAAATTCTAAACCATTTTCTAGTTGTACTTATGGATAGACACTTGTTTGCATTTCAAATTACTTCAAGGGTAACAGCTTTGGAAAAACTTGATAGATCTGGTGGACAATTAGAAAACTAAATCCCTTTGCCAAATTGGTAAGGTAATAATAATGTAAGTGTGTAATTTATTTATTTTGTACTAAACGTCTCCAACTGATATTATGATTACTATGTACATAAACCTCAAACATAACATACAGTACATTATATCCATTAATGTAACACAAACAGCATTTGATAATTGCATCTTAAAAAGACAGAAATACAAAATGTATCTATCTGTTTCCCCTAAAAAACATCATCAAAAATACAATGTAAACAAGTAAACATATACCTGTGTGCCTCTGGCATAAATGTCACCATTTTCCATCTTATCAGCACTAAATGGGTCTACTTTCCACTCTTCCTGTAATCATTATTTATATACATATCAAAACAATACTCAAGTACATTTTTGTAAAGAATTTTTGTTCTATTTTTCCAATATTAACCCAATACATGACCAACAGGGGGACATCTCAAAATTGCCGAAAAATCACTATTTTGCATTGATTTTCCATCAAAACTGATTTCGAAGTGCTGCAACTTCTCATTGGATTGAGATAGAGTCAAAGGCTTTTTAGCGTAGGTTACATGCAACCTTAAGGTCAACATGAGGTCTTAGGGTCTATATGAAGTATTTGGTTAATAATGCAATTACAACCTAAAATACATGTATACATGGGTGAAAGTTGGAAATTTTAAAAATCCTGAAAATCCTGAATTAAGCAGTTATTCTATAGTTTTTCATAGGAAATAGAAGGCTTTCAGAAGACTGAGAATCCTGAACTTAAGAAATAATCCTGAAAACTTTCACCCATGTGTATATACATTGTATCTATTTGTATCATAATGTTATGATTAAGTTCAGAGTATAATTTTGAATAATAGAACACAATATTGTATATAGAGTTACATACAGGATATACTGGTACAACGTCTGTGTGAGAGTTCAGGAGGATTGTGGGTAATGTAGGATCTTCCCCTTCCCATGTTATAATCACCACCTTTTTCCCAGGGTGCACCTATAACACATGAAATATTTCTAATATCACATACATGTAGATCTGACTTGTATAGAGAGAATAACCAAAATATATTTTAACACATGTTTCTTCTAATTTAGGCTTGTTCAGTAAATGAACATAAGAAGCACTATTAGAAACTTCTTTTATTTCAAAATAATTGTTAATAAATATTTAATAAAAAAAATTATTAATTTTCAAAACCAATATGCAAAATAATCTTAAGTGTAAAAGTAAGGGTTACCTCAACAGTACTGAATGATAAACCAATTTCATCAGCTTGCCTTTGTAAGAAAGCTATAGCTCCATCTAAAATAAAAAAGCAAGAATGTTGTTAAAAATTGAATTTCAAGGCTCAATTCAACATTAGGTTTACTTATTCATTTTTTTATATTTATAAACAAAAACTCATGGCCCTTAAGGGCATTAGAGTGAACAAACAAACAATACAACAAATAATAATACAGTCATTGCATAGAAGTAAATTAGGAAGATGTAAGCATTATAACTTTAACAAACATTGCTATATTAAATGAAGTATTTCTGTTATCACTACACATTTAAGCCTGAAAATTAAAAAATAAAAGGAAACCTTGAAAATTCATTACTGGTACTTGTGTGATACATGAGCAAAATAACTACATTAAAAAAAATAGTAAAATTCATCGCCTATTTCTTGCTGGTTACAAAGTGAGCAGGTTCTAATTTCTATGGTGGCTGATTTGGAACACTTTGTGTGTCGTATTGTCGCTAGCAAAAGCACGACTAAGCGCCAAATCGTCTTGTTGTCCTGTCACTATCGATGCCCACCAAACGGCCCGTTGTTGTGCGTCTTGTTGTCACGATGTCACATTGTCCCTGACTCAAATCAAAGGATTGGCAACAGGGCCCAGCGACCAGTCGACATTGTACCCCACGACAACAGGGCATTTTGCTAGCAACAAGACGAAAAATTGATAACAATATAGGTTGTGTTGTTGCTATCAACAACAATATACGCACAGAGTGTACCAAGTCAGCCACCATAATTTATTCTTTCAAGACCGACCTTTCTCTAAAGGAAGATCAGAATTGAGACATCTAAATTTAAAACAAGTTATTGCTAGATTACTTGCTAAACATAGTTAACTAGTAAAACTACAGAAATTTAGCAGCTTTAACTAAAGAATTCAATGAATAATGAAAAGTTACAGCTCTCTTGCCTAATTCACTTCAACAGATCTATGTCACATAGCAGCCAGGGAATTACTCAGCATCAGCAGGCTCCTCTTAAGCATACCAGGTGCATATCAAATTTTGGAGATCAATTGTAATAAATAAAAACATGCTATGATTTAGTTGTTTCAAACCTCATTACCATAATCAGGTTCTGGGTGAACAGTTTTTATCCTCAAATACTCTCGAAAATTTGTGACAGCCTTATCCTCTGCTTTAACACGTTTGTTTGTCGACTCCTCTGGCATTTTGTCGTCCTGTGCTAGGGTAGAAATTCCGCAATAAATATGAAAATACAAAAACAAAATTACAATTTTTTGTCTATTTTTTTTGGTGGAGGCTATAGGACATCCCTTTCCTGGAGTAAGGCGGAGTTTACTATTATAAGCGTTTTTTTTAGCGCGAATGTTAAAGAGCGTCTGAGTGAACGCTGCTATAGAGAATGGAAAGGGACGTAAATATGCGAAATGTACTTTTATTTCTCCATCAGTTTTTATTTTAAAAAAGAAAACTAATAATATCGCAATATTAGATCTACGTTGAATTGAAACAAAATGAAGCAGTCAAGTTATGTTTTCAAAGCAACTTATAGCATCATGAAACAATATGTGCGTGTCTCTATATAATAACGCTAATAATTGTGAAATTGTATACTTTTAGTTGCTTTGTATATTTATTCACTTACAAAACACATTATGATATGACTATTATTAAGTGAATTTACATAAATTGTCGTCATTTGAGGTGAAGGCAAACCAATTTTCTTAAAGGGTTCAATCAATTACACCAATAAATAGTTTGTCTGGGGTAAAATAAAGACGACATCCCGTGTATGGAGGTCACCTGCCACAGTACCTAAATAAAGTGCAGTCTAAACTTGTGATGTACATGCTTCCGAATGTATCATCAATAATAAGTAATTGTAGGTAATCAATTACACCCCTAACACATGTTACCTGTAATTATTAAACATGAAAAACAGTTCGCCCATAATCTGATAGAGTATATATCAATGACGACAACCAATAAATGGAGGTTCACCTTTTTATACCCTTATATTAAGATCATATATAGTGTATAGCCTACCGGGTTGGACTGTAAACTGAATGATGTATCCCTAGAAAAGTGCATTGTTAAATGCAATTCTGACAGCCAGTATCTGGATGTAGACAAGTTTAATGTCTGAATGTAAAATCATGTACTTTACTTGTATATTAACTCCATTTATTCTGTTACGTGTATAGCCATTATATGAACCTTTTTTTTTTTTACAAATAATGCAAGTTTAGGAATAGTGAACTTTTGATTAATAAAAGAGGTTATGAAAATAGTGACTATTATGTTAACAACCAATATACGGATGTAAGGTCTGAGTGTTTATAACTTTAAAATCTACATGTATATACATTTACTTTACAATTTTCTGGTATAATATGTACTTAATAAGCTAAGATTACGTTAAGAACATGTACATTTTGGTAAAATGTCAACCCGCTTTTGGAGGTCAACTGCTTCGAGTGCAATACATAATTTATTACATCCCGGCAAAGCCCCGGTAGACGTCCAGGTGATCTGGGAACGGCCGGAATACATCCATAACTCTGCCAGCAACGTCCGGGATGATTCTGGAACATCTGGCATTCGACCCCGGAAATAAAAAAAAAATAATATCACCGGGGTGGTCCGGGATAACCCGGGGAGTAAAGCTTTGCCGGCTTCATCCTTAGCTCTGCCGGGAATGACCGGGGTTACACCGGGGAAGCACCGTAGCTCTGTCGGCAAAAACCGGGTATGATCCGGGGTATGATATAGCCGGTAGAGCTACGGCAGAGCCCTTGTGAATGCTGGCAGAGCCCCGGAGAATGCCAGTAGAGCCTCGGAGAATGCAGTCAGAGCCATGGAGGATGACGATGAGCTAATGTTGATCCTGGTAGAGCCCTGATAAAGCCCGGTTCATTCCAAAAGAACCACGACAATTTGCGATGATTGCACTTGTTTGTATACCCTTCCCATTTCATTTCTATCCAGTCTTGCGTAAGGATTTTTCAGAAAATCATCATGCATTACTGTTCTTTATATTAAATAAAAATTATGTATTGATCAATGTAATCATGTAATCATGTTCGCGCGTTTTCAATCCACTGGGATTCTACGGGGGCTCTGCCTGGATCGTCCTGGGCTCTGCCTGGATCGACCGGTGCTCTGCCTGGGTCAACCTAGGCTCTTCCAGCGTCATCCGGGAGCGACACATTATGATATGACTATCATTAAGTGAATTTACATAAATTGTCGACATTTGAGGAGAAGGCAAACAAATTTTTAAAGGATTCAACCAATTACACCAATAAATAGTTTGTCTTGGGTAAAATGAAGACGACAACCCGTGTATGGAGGTCACCTGCCCCAGTACCTGTATAAAGTGCTATCTAAATTTGAGATGTACATGCTTTCGAACGTATCACCAATAATAAGTAATTGTAGGTTATCATTAACACTTCCTTTAAAACGCATGTTACCTGTAAAATATTAAACATGAAAAATAGTTCGCCCATGATCTGATAGAGTATATATCAATGACGACAACCAATAAATGGAGGTTCATCTCTTTCGGAGTAATTTTCTTTAGAGTATAGGCTACCGGGTTAGACTGTAAACTGATTGATGTATCACTAGAAAAGTGCATTGTTAAATGCAATTCTGACTGCCAGTATCTGGAAGTAGAGAAGTCTAAGACTCTTATGATAATGTATATTCACTCCATTTATTCTATTACGTGTTTAGCCATTATATGTAATAATGCAAACAAGGGCAAGTTTATGAATAGCGAACTTTCTTTATAATGAAATAAATATACCGTGCAATATAATGAAATCCGGTTGATAGAAGCAATTATTGGTTTATCTTTAGAAAAAAACTTCAAATAATTGTATTGCCAAAGGCATTGGTGACAAACCGCATCTAGATGTCTGATTTTCCTATAATGTATACATATGTACGACTTAAAACGGAGGAAGATGAAAACTGGAAAAAAAACGTTTAAAATTAATATCAATGTAACACATGAACTATGTGGGCTTGAAACAGCAATGACGATATGTATAAACATGCAAATTTTCAAATTTCTGATGAATATGGGTCTGAAAAACAATAACGAAAACCGTTATATGTATGCCAGTGTGTGTATTTGTATGTTTTTTTTTATTTATTTTTTTTTTTTGTAAAACAAAGACTACAACCATGTTTGGTGGTCAGCTGCTTTAGTGCTTGAATAAAGTGCATTCACTTGTACTGCCTAAATCGGCTTATGTCTTAAATGCCTCTTTCACCAATACTCAATTAACGAAGAACGTGGCAGAATTCTTACAAAAAAGATGGTGTCAAGAACTCACGACAACCAACATATGGAGGCACAGATTTAGCTCCATGATGGATTTTTTACCGCCTGTTCATCTACATATAAAACGGTTCTTTAAAATCATTTAGTTTCCTCATAAAGCATGCTCGTTGTCTGGAAAGTTTTAAAACAAACATCACGGTGCATATCCATATCGGTACCCTCTTTGCGAAATCTGCTCAAACGGTACCCTCTTTGCACATGCACAGGTCATTGTCTGCTAAAAACAAACCAGCGATGGATAACAATCCAGCAAAATTTCATTGTTATAAGGAAAGGAGGTATGACATGTAGAAGAGATGTATACCACGGAACACTAGAATGTTTTATTTATGTGCTGATTTGTCATGTGCCGATTTTCATGTACTACACCTTCACAATAAGCTACAAAAAATCGACATGTCTTGTCTCGTCCATCACCTCGACATATATTGTTCGGACTGAAATGAACATGTGGCTTGATTATATATGCATCATACATATTTAATATGTTCATATTCATATCATCTCGGACAAATGGCAGTATATTGTCAAAAATAAATGAAAAAATCATAAAAACACCCTTCTTTCGGTTTTGCAGCGGCAAGGGCTACCTCTCTTCATTTGAGTTTTTATATCACAGGTACCCTCTCATTTTTTAACACATAGGTACCCTCAAAGCACGACATGGAACAAAAACAACTTATTTCATGCTTTCCAGTGTTTTACTTACTATATCAGATGATTATATTCTGATAAACCACTAGTGAAATTTAAACAAGAGGGCAATGATGGCCCTGAAGTCGCTCATCTGTACATAGGTCCCTAGGGCGGTGCCAGTTTAAACCTTGGCTTTATTTGAACAAACTTGGTAGACACTCACTAGAAGATGTTTCATGCCAAATATCTAAGCTCTAGCTCTTTGAATTTAAAAAAAAAAGATATTTAAAGTTTTTTCTTTTGGTTGCCTTTCGGTTGCCATGGCAACCAGAGTACTGTATGGAATTAAATTCTTTAAACAATTTTAAAGGTGACCACCAAAGGAACATTCCTGTGAAGTTTGGATGAAATTGGCTCAGTGGTTAATGAGAAGATGTCATTTAAATTAAAAGTTTATGGACGGATGGACGCCGGACGGCGCTGGACGAAAAGCGATCACAAAAGCACAGCTAAAAATATAGTTTTCACTGTAGCCGGACTACTTTTCCCCCTCAATTACAAAGAAACACAGTTATTTCCCAAACAATAGACATGCACGTGAACACAACAACAACAAATAATAATACAAGAGAGCTATGATGGCCCTGAGTCGCTCACCAGAAACAACTGCTTTTCAGTGTTGGAATGTCAATATACATGTATTCTCATATTAAACTTGAGCATAGAATATGTTTAAACAATAATTTGAAGAAATGCCATGACCTGGGGCATTTAAGCTTTAGCTTAAACAGGGCTCATCAAATTAATATGAGCAAACTTGATAAAAGACTACCTAAGAATGCTACAAAGTTTGGTGATCGTCTATCAATTATTTCAGTAAGAAATGATGTTTGAAGGTTTTTTCTATTTTTAGCTTTAATGGCCCCTAAAAGGGGCTAATCAAATTAATGTGAGCAAACTTGATAAAAGACTACCCAAGAATGCTACAGACAAAGTTTGGTGATCATCCAAAGCTTAGTTCTCTCGAAATAGACATTTAAAGGTTTTTTTATTTTTAGCTTTAGCGTCCCCTAAAAGGGGTCAATCAAATTCATATGAGCAAACTTGATAAAAGACTACCCAAGAATGCTACAAAGTTTGGTGATCATCCATCCATTAGTTCTGTAGAAGAATATGTTTAACGGTTTTTCTATTTTTAGCCCTACTAACCCCTAAAAGGGGCCAATCAAATTAATATGTAAAAACTTGATAGAAGACTACCCAAGAATGCTACAGACAAAGTTTGGTGATCATCCATCAATTAGTTCTGTAGAAGAT